GCAGGAGGACCTGCAAATCTCTGTCGTTCATCCCACTAAACTTTCGTTTTGGGGGGAGCAAAGGGAGACAGGAGTCCTCTGTTCTTCTCTAAACTGATCAACGTGGTTTTGGGGTGGGGAGGAGAAGACTTCCATTGATTTGCTTGTAGTACAGCATTCCCAGCTTGTAGGTGGGTTGCTGGCAGCCTGAATGGCCCAGGCTAAGCCCAGTGTTTTCAGAGCTTGGAGGCAAAGCAGGGCTGGCCAAGGTTTAATATTTGGATGGGAGGGAAGGAAGACTAGGGCTGCTATGCAGAGGAAGGCAGTGGCAAACCACCTCTACTCATCTCTTGTCTTGAAAACCCCATGAGGCATTGCCATAAGTCTGTTATGACTCAACAGCCGTACGGGTTGCTGACCAAAAAGGGACTGGCTTCTGGTGGATGAGTGCCACGCTGGCTGGCTCTTACTCTTGTGAGTGTTCAGGGACTGAGTGCAATCCTTGGGTCTTTTCTCTGAAGAGGCTCTTGTCTCAGGGATGAATATAAATGTTGTCCCCCGTGGGAGAAAGTAGTTGTGTGAATCCACTCTGGCTGGCGGTTCCTCGGAAAGACACCTTTTTCTCTCCTGTGGAGGGTATCGTGAATTTTGGACAATTATCCCTTGTTTGCGGAGCAGGTGCTTGACAGCGTTGTTTTACCCTGTGTTGTCAGTCTGTTGTCTTAAAAGAGAGAGCCTGCTGGCTTGTTGGGTCATAGCTCTGTTCAGTTATCCCAGCTCTCTTGTCTCGGTGAGCCCTTAGGTTTCCAGTTTTTGATGTATTAATCTTGATACCAGAGTTCCGTCCTTCTATTCTTTGCAGCTCTCCGCTGCCTGGTTTCTTTCACTGCTTGTTAAGATCATGGCGGGACGCTTTCCATAGGAAACGAGGGGTCCAACCTTTTGTTCACAGAACTTCACAGGCGAAATGTACCGTTTTGCTCATCAATGAGCCTCTTTGTGTTTAACTAGCTTTTACACCCCCATCGCTGCTTTCGCACAGAATCGTAGCTTTTTTGCAGGGATAATGATCTTAAAACCTGCCTGGGGGGGAAAGGAGGAGGCTTCATTTATGTTCAAAACAGACAAAAACTCATTAGCTGCTCTTTTTCTTTTTTTGTCCCTAGTGACCAGTTGAGTTCCACAGAGAGCATGGCTGGTGTGATGCCAATTTAATTTCTCTTGTTGCGTTTGTGCTGGGATAGAGACTAGGTAAAACAGAATGCCACTGTAATTGAAGGGTTGAGACCAGGATTTGGTTTTTGCTGATGGAAAATAAAAAGGAAAAAAGAGGGTCCCCTCTGACTACCCCGAAAGGCTGTGCTGGGGATCACAGGACCTGCCTTTAGGACGGGGGCTGTAGTAAGTTGGCATGTTGGGTGAGTCGGATTGGAAAAGCTGGCAGGTCCCATCCTGTGGCTGGAATTCTCTCCCTTGTGCCTGCTGAGACCTGTAGAAGGTGGGTGCTGATTCTAAGGAATATGATATTTCTGTTAAGCTCTTCTGAATGTGAAGTGTGGACCTCTGAGTATTTGATACTCTTCGTTAGCCCCTGGAATATCACTACCAAGAGTGGCAAACTGTCCCATCTCCTAGGAGGCAGGGGGTGGATCCATCTATCTAAGTGACTCTTCCTCCAGTGGAGGAAGTGCCGCTTAACTTGGAAGAAGTCTTCTTAGGATGGAGGAAGTCTTCAAACATGAGCCAACTGGAAAAGTAGAGTATAAATACTTTAAGTAATAAATGAAAAGACTTTGCTCAGTGGAGTGGTAGGATTGGTAGGATCCACCCCAGTGTGTCTGTTGCTTTTTTGCAGCTATTGGTTCACATATAAAACCCCTTTTGTTTTTTGCAATGTAAATGGATGGGTACTGTGATACAGCCAAGAGAATGCTGCCCTTGCATCATTCCCCATCGCGTCTATCCAGCAACAGAATAACCCACGGTGGGCCTGTGAATTTATCGTGGTGGAAAAGGCCATCAAGTCATGGCCAACTTATGGCGTCCTTGTAGGTTTTTCAAGGCAAGGGACGAACAGGGATGATTTGCTGATGCCTGCCTCTGCATGGTAACTTGGGTTGCCAGCTCCAGGTTGGGAAATTCGTCGAGATTTGGGAGGGGGTGCATTCTGGGCCAGTTTGGTGTAGTGGTTAAGTGTGCAGACTCTAATCTGGGAGAACTGGGTTTGATTCCCCACTCCTCCACTTGGAGCTGCTGGATGGCTTTGGGCAAGCCATAGTTCTGGCACAGCTGTTCTTGAAAAAGAGTTGTTTCTGTCAGAGCTTTCTCAGCCCCACCTATCTCACAGGGTGTCTGTTGTGGGGAGGGGAAGGGGAAGGAGTTTGTAAGCCACTCTGAGACTCCGAGTGAAGGGCAGGGTATAAATCCAGTCTCCTCCTCCTCCTCCTTCGGAGTGTGGAGTCTGGGGAGGGACCTCATCAGGGTTTAATGCCAGGGGAACAGATCTCTTTAGTTTGGAGATCAGTTGTGATTCCAGGAGATCTGCAAGTCCCCCCTGGAGTTTGGCAGCCCTAGTAGCTCCAGTCTTTCTTGGTGGTTCCCCATCCTTTTGGTGTAAGCGTTCCTTCAGATGCTGTATGTGTTTGTATTGATGGATACACAATGTGAAGGGGCCAAATAAAAGCATCGCCTGGAAATAAATCTGGCATGGGGCATTTCATGGAGTTTGCTGTTAACGGCTGTTTCTTCTCTTCCGCAGATTTACAGTAAACAACATGATCCTGCACCCAGAGATTGCCGAATGGTACGTTTTCTTTTTGATCTTTCCCCCACGACAGAGTCCTTGTTCTGATCAATTTGGTCATTGCTTACCAGTGGTCTCTCAAAATGCCCATCACTGATTCAAATTTCTATCTTGATCCCAGATGCACAAGATAAAAGTAAACTGAGACTCTACCATGTGCATAGAATGTGTGTGGCTTGGCATTTTAAACATACCCGGAAACATTTTATAAATATGAGGTCATAGTGTGCTATAGGTTCAGTGATGGCAGCTTCTTTAATGGATTATTCCCCCCCCCCCCAAAATAAATAAATAAATTAGTGGGCATATAGATGCCTCTGAAACTTGGTTTTGTGTTACTTGTCAGCCTCCCTTGCGATTCAGGGAAAGTGTCCCCCTCACCCAAGGGGCCATTGTCCCAGAGAACTTAAAATGACATTCTGGGCTCAAGAGGCTTGTGGCTCCTGCATACCTCATATGGTGATTCTTCTGCCTCGACTTTATCTTGCCCATGCTTTTTGTTATGCTTTCCGTGAAGGGGGGGGGGGTCACACAAACGCACATGAAGCTGCCTTAGACCCTTGGTCTATCAAAGTCAGTATTGTCTAATTTGATTGGCAGCCATTTGCCAGGGTCTCGGGTAGAGATCTTTTGGATCACCTCCTATCTGATCCTTTTAGCTGGAGGTGCTGGGGGTTGAACCTGGGACTTTCTGCATGCAAAGCTGATGCCCTGCCACTGAGCCACAGCCCCTTCTTTGAGCAACCTTGTACCAGTCAGACCCTTGGTCTATCAAGTTTTGCATTGTCCACTGTAACCAGCAGGAGCTCTGTCAGGTCTTAGGTGGAGGTCTTCCACATCACTTTCTGCCTAATTTTTTTTTTTTTTTTATTTTTTGGTGTTTGTGTGTGTGTGTCTGCACCTGGAAGTCAAGTTGACCTCTGGTGACTGACCCCTACTGGGGGCCTGGAGGATATACAGAGAGGTGGCTGAATAAAGCCTGCCTCTGTCCTCCTGACTTGGTATACCAAGGAGGTCTCCCATCTCCCATCCAAATACTAATCACGGTTGACCCTGCTTAGCTTCTGAGATCTGACGAGATCGGGCTTGCCTGGGCTATCCAGGTTAGGGCCCTGCCTAATCTTTTTAAGTGGAGGTGCTTGGTATAGTACTTGGGACCTTCTTCATGGAAAGCACATTGTGTTCCACTGAGTTACATCCCCCTCCCTAAATATGATGGGGGTCAGGATATGAACAGCTTGAGAACATGGTTTCTCTTGGATCAGGTTGTCAGCCTACCAACCCCAAGAACCCGAGCAGTTCTTTTATGGGCTCATATACAGAAAAGCCTTTCATGGGACTTGCCAGCCTGAAATCCTGTCAGCGGGTGGTGCTGGGGGGTCACACCTGGGTCCTCCTCCGCTGAACTTGAGGGCCTTCTCCTCCCCCCCCCTGCCCCTGAAATTGTAGCCAACAGCAGAGAATGTCCACAGTAGGCCATTATGTAGCATCACAAAGGAGGGGGAAGCAAAATGAAATGCCACTCTGATCATCCTTGTTAATTTGCTGAAAAATTGGTTAGTGTTAGCAATTGTGTGGCCACAAATAAAATATATTAATTATAATTAGCACTATTGCTGCGACTGCCCAGCGAAACATTAATTGAAAGCCTGGCAGAATGGGTAATGTTATATAAATGTCAGACTATTATTACCTCCTTTTGGGATTCATTTTAAAAGCATTAATTCTAATGCGTTCGGTTTGCAAATTTATGGATATTCTCTTTAATTACACTTGAATGTCAGTGGAGTCTGACATTAGCAGAAGCGTACCTAGAAGTATCCAAGTCCTAAAGTGTTCCTGGCGGTGATATGTCTTCATTTTTTTTTAAAAAAAATCTTTTTTGTAAAGTAAGAATATTAAAGCTCCCCCCAGTACTGAAAAATGAAAGTGCTCTTGTTTAAAGAAGAGATTCTGTGCCTCAAGGTTGTCATACTGCAAGCTATTAGTGGTGGACTAGGATTGGTTAGTCTTGAATTCAGATCTCACAGCCATAAAGGTTGTTGGGGGGGAGTGACATTGGGGTGGTACACATGCTCTCAACCAAAGTTCCCTCTAAGCTGAGTTAGTGTGGGCTAGCTCACAGTTTTTTAGCCTCTGGCTCACACATTTTTGTCTTAGCTCAGGAAGGATGGCTCCAGAGCAAATGCATTTATGCAGTAGTAGCCAAATCGCTCGCTCACAGCTTTCATGCCAGGAGCTCACGAAGTAGAATCTTTGCTCACAGGGCTCCACAGCTTGGAGGGAGCACTGCTCGCAACCTAGCTTCTCTTGTAAGCTTGTTTGTGTGTGTTTGCATGCCTGGAAGTTATGGTGACTTCTGGTGACCTCTAGTGGGGCTAGGACATTTCAGAGAAGTTGCTTGATTGCCTGCATCCCCCTGGTATTCCTTGGAGGTCTCCCTTCCGAGTATTTGCCAGGGTCAGCCCTGCTTAGCTTCCAAGATCTGATGAGATCAGGCTTTCCTGGCCTATCCAGGTCAGGGCTCTTGTGAGCTTGTTGTGAGGATGAAACAAAAGGAAAGGAGAACTGTTTTTGGCACACCCTGATCTCCTCAGAGAATGGGTGGGATTAACCTGTAATTGATCGAGATGTGGGGCTGCAGTCCAAAATGGCAACCCTGTGTTGTGTCCTCTATGGTAACATGCATCAGTGGGGTGTGACATCATTGCATACATTTCCCTGTCTACTTCCTCCCCTTGTCCAAAGCAGCAGCTGGTGATAATCAAGTTGGACTGAAGCTTTGTGTGATGTCATTTCCTTTCCTGCTCCTTATATGGGAGAGGAGGTCAAACACAACACAGCGCTTGTGCTTTTGTCAGCAGCCCTGTGTGCTTCACCACATCTCAATCCACTCTGGAAGACTATTCATCCCTTGATTTGATAGGGAGGCCAGCTTAGGAAGTGGGTTGATACCCTGTGCTTATCAAAGTCCTACAGGTGGTACTTGGTTGAAGCCAGCTAGCCATTACTTGGCTTGGTTTTTGTGGTGCCTGGGGGAAAAAACCTGGTTGTGAAGTGTACTTGGGACATGTTCAGTAATGAACTAACGACGGCCTAATCCTGATTTGTTGTGTTCTACCACCACTCTGTGCAGCTAAAATGGGACTTCTCCTGGACCTGCTGCTGGATAAACAGGAAGCAGCTGTGGCCAGGAGTGCCTTTTGCCAGCTTTGTCTGTGGCCCTTCCCGGAACAGAAGAGATCTGGCCACTGTGGTTATGTGTGCCATGGTAACATCTAGATTAGATTACTGCAGTGTTCTCTGTGGGAGGCTTCCTCTGCAGGGTCTATTTTTCTCCGAAAAAGGCCCTTTGGGTTGGTAGAAGACTAACTGCAGTGTTCTCTGTGGGAGGCTTCCTTTGCAGGAAGAGTCTGTTTTTCTACGAAGAAGGCCCTTTGGGTTGGTAGAAGACAATGTATGCATGGAGGAAGGGAGTGGTAGGACATAGTCCATTGACTTTAATATGACCTTGGCTTATTTGCCCCTTGTTGTCTGAAATCGGTGAGCTCCCTCAGTGGAGGACAACATCCTGAGTCAGGTTGTCCCTTCCATCCATTGCTGGAGAGGGCTCCCCCCCCCCCCCACTTATACTCCACGATGCAAATTCCGTGCCAGGTATTATTAGGAAAGAGGTTGCCATTTATTTTTTTTTATTTTCCAACATTGTAATGTTATCGATCTATTGTGCAGGCCTCATTTGGGATGCTGTGTATCGTTCTGATTGCCCAAACTGGGGCAACGTATGGAAGAGGGCAACCAAGGTTATGACAGGGTTGGAGCACCTTTCCTTATGAGCGAAAGGCTAAAGAGCCTGCAGCTTTTCATATTAGAGAAAAGATTACTAAGAGGGGACATGAGAGAGGTATGTTAAAAGAATTATGCATAGGGTGGAGATAGTGGATAACCCCCCCCCATAATACTAGAATTCAGGGACATCTGGTGAAGTTGATGGACAATAGATTTTGGACTTGAAAAACGAAGTGATTTTTTACTCAACGAGTTAGTAAATTGTGGGGTTCATTGCTAATGGACATAATGATGGCTGTGAGCATAGATGGCTTTAGAAAGGCATTTGATTGATAAAAGATAGGTCTGTCAGTGGTTACTGGCTATGATGACTAAAGGGAATCTCCATGTTCAGAGGCAGTAAACCTCTGAATACTGGTGCAAGGCAGCGGCTTCAGGGGGAGGTGTCTTGGCCTCTGTGCCCTTTTGGTTGACCCTCTGTGGTAACTGGATGGCTGCTGTGTGAAACAGGATGCTGGAGTAGATGGGCCACTCGTCAAGTCTAGCAGGTAAGTCTTGGGATGGTGGGCATCTTCCCTAGTTCTAGTCCTGCCTCTGTGAAGAGCAGTATCTACCAACAACTCCCACCATGACTGCTGACCCTTGGCAAAGAAATACCCCACCCCCCCAGCAATGTTCCCTCTAAGCTGTGGAGTCTTGTGAGCAAAAATTCTACTTTGTGAGCTCCTGGGCATTAAAGTTGTGAGTGAGAGATGTGGCTATTGCATAAATTAGTTTGCTCTGGAGCCACCCTTCCTGAGTGAAGACGAAAATGTGTGAGCCAGAGGCTAAAAAACTGTGAGCTGGCTCACATTAACTCAGCTTAGAGGGAACACTGCCCCCCAGGGCAGCTGAGATTTAGGAGGCTCCATATATCAGTTATCACCTTATTTCCACATGGTACAGTGGAAGAGAAGGGGAGCCAAGCTGGGTCTGGGTATGCTAGGCCACCTTAAAAGAAGTCTGGAAATCGACCCTCGGCTCAGTCGAATGCAGCCTTTATATGTGAGTGTGGGGAGGGGGGAGTTCCCGGGAAGTTCATCACAATTGCATGCTCGAAAGGAGGGGGGAAGTGTCTCAAATTAATCCAGGGGAACTGTTCACAAAGAAAGCTAAATCTGAAGTTCGGAATGCAAAATCTTTTTAGGACACTGGCAGCCTGAGGTGGAAGG